CCTTGCACACACACTACTGAAATACTCTCACATTCACTACTGAACACCTCACACACACACACTACTGAAAATTAAGCCTCACACATATTAGTGAAAATGAACCTCACACACACACTACTGGAAACCTCTGGCCTTGCACACACACTACTGAAATACTCTCACATTCACTACTGAACACCTCACACACACGCTACTGAAAACATCTGGCCTTGCACACACACTACTGAAATCCTCTCACATTCACTACTGAACACCTCACACACACGCTACTGAAAACATCTAGCCTTGCACACACACTACTGAAATACTCTCACATTCACTACTGAACACCTCACACACACGCTACTGAAAACATCTAGCCTTGCACACACACTACTGAAATACTCTCACATTCACTACTGAACACCTCACACACACACTACTGAAAACATCTAGCCTTGCACACATACTACTGAAATACTCTCACATTCACTACTGAACACCTCGCACACACACTACTGCAAATTAACCTCACACACACACTCCTGAAAAACATTTTACTGAAAGGTTCTCAGTAGGGAATGTGCATGTGTTTCACCTATGTGTGTGTGAGGGGATTCTTGCTGTAACGGAAGTCATTCTAATGTAACGGAAGTCATTCTAATGTAACGGAAGTCATCTGCTAGTGGGTCTCTTTGCTAGCCCCGTTAGCTTCATTAGCTCCAGGCTGCTACTCGGACGTGTTTGTTGTGTTGATGCCTGGTGGAGTATTCTTCATTGAAATATCGCACTTATCTTATGGCTCTGCGGTTCAAACAGACCGTCCATGAATGCAGTTTATTCGGTAAGTGAAATTCAAGCACTTTATTTCTTACTTGTCTTTTTATTCAGCTAACAAGCGAGACGAAGCTACATCTGTGCTAACGATGCTATCCGTAGCATACAAGTTAAAACATAATAGAGAAGTGTAAAACATTAAGAAGGATTATACTGTAAAACACAAGGCTTCTCGGTGAGGTTGGTAAAATAAGGTCATGCTTGTACATTAGTTAGTTTGCTAGTTAGGTAACTGTATGCATTGTTATTGTTAATTTAAAATAGCTATGCTCGACGATACAGACAGCTAGCGTTACATTAGTGTTGAAGAGCAGAGTATGAGATTAACCCATAGATTAACCTCACTATAAGATCTGTGTATCTGAACAATATGAATCTCACATTTCCAGTTGGTTCCAGAAATAACGTTGACGTAGATATTGCAATATGGTTTGTTGTTTGTTACTTAGCATTTTATTATCATTACACTGGAGAAACCGACTTATTGTGGCAGCAGAACGTGAACATGTAACTTAATGCCTGCATTTGAGGACGAAAAATAGCTCAGTCAATGCTTTAGGGACAAGGAAATGATTTGTTTAAATATTAGATATGACGTTATGTGTGCTTCTGTGACAATGAAGCTTATTCATTGCATTACATTTGTTGAAGATGTTTGTCTTTTACCCTTACGTGTGTGTTACACATGAATGGGAATATGGCATAGGACCAGGGCCGGACTGGGACAATATGTCAGGCCGGGAATTATACACCATACATACAATACATACATACAAATCTATAAATGCCTTAAGGTTTCTAAAATATACAATATGTGGTAAATTCAACAGTGGATCCAGCAAAGATTCACATTTTTGCATGATTTTTGTTATTGATTTGTTGCTGTTACTTAATTATACTTTTAATAAATTCAAGTCAAGCTTAGTTACATGTGATGGTAGCTATATGCTCTCTGTGTGCCTCCTCCGCAACCAGACTGTATTCAAACTCTCAAGTACCAGTTATATCTACTTTAAACAATTAAAAAGACAAAATCAACTACATTTATTGATATACCAATCTTTATTTTTGGGGCCTCTTCTTCTTTTAAATTAAACTTTCAGACGTGAGATATTGAAATACAGTAATAGTTTTGTCTATTTAAAAAAGAATGAGCCATTCCTTACAGTTAACTTCATATTTCTTATTGTCTAAAGCATTTATGACACACATTTCCCCCTCATATTCACAGTGTGGATCAATTGAGACAGCGTGCAGAGACTTTGGGAGAAACCTCAGCATGACGGATGTCCTGTCTGTGGGTTTGGCTGGAGAGGACTGAGGTGGAGAGGTCTTTCTCTGGGAGGAGGCCCAGGCCTGATGGAGGAGGCCCAGGCCTGATGGAGGAGGACCAGGCCTGATGAAGAAACCCCCTCACTGCATCTGTGAGCACATACTGGGCTCAGCTGTCACAAACAAATGATGGTCCTGTTTGACTTTGTGTTCACAATAAAAGTGTAGTTTCTTAGTGAATGTCCTGTATTGGTCTTTAATCTGAAATCAGCTTTTCATTTTCTTCTTGCCCCTCTGAGAAAACGGTGAGGCAGTTGTGTCCTTCAGGTATGTCCTTTCCTAACAGAAATGACAAGAAACATGACATTATTGCAGAGCAAGTGTGTTATTTATGAAAGGTTTGTTTATTTAGCGGCTGTAGAAATAATGTATTTTTTTTAATTTTAATGTGTTTTTTTAATTCAGCACTTTGTACTACAAAGATAATCAGATTATGAATGAACAGTCTGCAGTTAATCAACATTAAAATATCTTATTATTAAATAATATTCAACTGCTCGGTTGTCTCACTGCAAGAACCACTTTTACCACGTCTTTTACAGACAATATGTAAAGACAAATGGTAGCAATTCTCACAATGTAAAATAATAATTGCCTTAAATACATTGAAATGTGAAAGCTGATTATAGTTGTTACTTTATCTATTTAAACCAGAACGTTTATCGATTCTTTGTACAGTATGAAAGGAGTCTTTGTACCTTTGAGTCCATGCTGAAGTTCACTGATGTTAGGAATAGGTCTGTCTCTCGTGGTCAGCATCCTCTGGTCTGTCTGCATCACCTGGAAACTTTAAACAAACATATATATATGTAAAGTAACAATGTGTTGGTCACAGACTATTTTTACATGCAAATGTCATGTGATAATCTTTTTGTTATCCTTAAAAAAAAGTGCTGGATATCAAAGCCCTTACTGTATCTTATCAGTTGGATTGTGTATTATAGTTGGGGTCCTTTTTATTTCAGAATCGTTTTTCATGAGACAGTCAATTTAAATATTTGTCCTATGCCATATTCACATTCATGTGTAACACACACGTAAGGGTAAAAGACAAACATCTTCAACAAATGTAATGCAATGAATAAGCTTCATTGTCACAGAAGCACACATAACGTCATATCTAATATTTAAACAAATCATTTCCTTGTCCCTAAAGCATTGACTGAGCTATTTTTCGTCCTCAAATGCAGGCATTAAGTTACATGTTCACGTTCTGCTGCCACAATAAGTCGGTTTCTCCAGTGTAATGATAATAAAATGCTAAGTAACAAACAACAAACCATATTGCAATATCTACGTTAACGTTATGTCTGGAACCAACTGGAAATGTGAGATTCATATTGTTCAGATACACAGATCTTATAGTGAGGTTAATCTATGGGTTAATCTCATACTCTGCTCTTCAACACTAATGTGACGCTAGCTGTCTGCATCGTCGAGCATAGCTATTTTAAATTAACAATAACAATGCATACAGTTACCTAACTAGCAAACTAACTAATGTACAAGCATGACCTTATTTTACCAACCTCACCGAGAAGCCTTATGTTTTACAGTATAATCATTCTTAATGTTTTACACTTCTCTATTATGTTTTAACTTGTATGCTACGGATAGCATCGTTAGCACAGATGTAGCTTCGTCTCGCTTGTTAGCTGAATAAAAAGACAAGTAAGAAATAAAGTGCTTGAATTTTACTTACCGAATAAACTGCATTCATGGACGGTCTGTTTGAACCGCAGAGCCATAAGATAAGTGCGATATTTCAATGAAGAAGAATACTCCACACAACAAACACGTCCGAGTAGCAGCCTGGAGCTAATGAAGCTAACGGGGATAGCAAAGAGACCACTAGCAGATGGCTTCCGTTACATTAGAATGACTTCCGTTACATTAGAATGACTTCCGTTACAGCAAGAATGACTTCCGTTACAGCAAGAATGACTTCCGTTACAGCAAGAATCCCCTCACACACACATAGGTGAAACACATGCACATTCCCTACTGAGAACCTTTCAGTAAAATGTTTTTCAGGAGTGTGTGTGTGAGGTTAATTTTCAGTAGTGTGTGTGTGTGAGGTGTTCAGTAGTGAATGTGAGAGGATTTCAGTAGTGTGTGTGTGAGGCTTAATTTTCAGTAGTGTGTGTGTGAGGTGTTCAGTAGTGAATGTGAGAGGATTTCAGTAGTGTGTGTGTGAGGTGTTCAGTAGTGAATGTGAGATGATTTCAGTAGTGTGTGTGTGAGGTGTTCAGTAGTGAATGTGAGAGGATTTCAGTAGTGTGTGTGTGAGGTGTTCAGTAGTGAATGTGAGAGGATTTCAGTAGTGTGTGTGTGAGGTGTTCAGTAGTGAATGTGAGAGGATTTCAGTAGTGTGTGTGTGAGGTGTTCAGTAGTGAATGTGAGAGTATTTCAGTAGTGTGTGTCCAAGGCCAGATGTTTTCAGTAGTGTGTGTGCGAGGTGAGTTTGAATTTTGGCCTACACGGCCCTTCATAATAACTTATATTGCAGCTATACTTTGGTTTAAACCCATGAATAAAATAGCTAGAGAGCTAAAGTTAATTTCATTCTGTCACTATCTGCCTGTATTGTATTTTGTCTTGTCTTGTTTCATGTTTTATTTTGAAAGGTCTTCACTTCCTGTCTTGCCTGTTTCTGTCTGCATTGTGTCTTGTTTAAACCTGTCTGTGGTTCCCGGTCGTTAGTTTCCCTGGTGTGTCTGATTACCCGATTGTGTTCACCTGGTGCCCCTGTGTTTTCTCCTCCCTCCTCACCTGTGTCTTGTTTCTGTGATTAGTCTTGTGTGTATTTAAGTTCTGGTTTTTCTGTCTGTCTTTGTCGGTTCGTCTTGTGTCATGACTAGTTCGTCGGTGAGTGTTCTGTTTTGTCTTTGTTTAGCACCTAGCCTTGAAATAAAGGAATTCTCACTTTAATCTGCATTTGGGTCCTACCTGCTTCACACACCGTGACACATTCATCCAATGTCAGACCTTTTAACAAAAGTTTCAATGATTTTCTTTCATTATAATGTGAGTAAAAGGTTGAAGAGATCAAATGTATTGCTAGCCCCGAGCCCCACTGGCATGTTTTGGACCTCGGTATTTACAAAATCCTGGATACGGGCCTGTATGCAGCAAACAGTCTTTGCTTTAAACACACATAACGGTGTTAGGCCAGAGCAAAAAAGTGTTGCAGCTTTTCAAATTGACGTACTGCGTAGTGCGCACACAGCGCTACCTTGTAATGCAAGTGTTGGATGTCCCTCTCGTCAAACGGACTATAGCAGAGGATAGTTTAGGTTTGCTAATGGCAGCACCTGACCGCCAACGTGGTGCGCATGCGTCTTGGAGTATCCGCTGGGAATACACTGCTCCCTGGGTAAAGCAATATGTGTTCTTGTTAAAGGCAAAAGGATCAATGGAACATGATTTTAGAGGGCTGAGTAGAGCAGCCTGTGAGAAGTGCCTGTACGCAAATAAAAGTCACGATACGCCAAAGAATAAAATGTGGAAGTGCCGGTACTGCGTAGCGGTGAGTAGTGGCCCACTTCGGGCACTGGTTTTAGCAATAACAACCTAAGACCCAGGCTCCTCCAACAGAGTGACTTTGGATAGACATAAAGGAAATAAAGGAAAATAAGTGCAATAAAGCTGTGAAAGTGACACAATTGTTTTCATAAATTAAGCCAATCACAGCATGTCCCCTCTCAATAAATTAAAAACTTTGTCTGTTTATTTATTTTATAAGATGAGTGATTCATGAATGGCAATTTATTTAAATTAAATATGTCTTATCATAAAAAGTAACGTGTAATAATGGATTATGAGGACGACGAGAGTGTAGTAATGTGTACAGCAGTTCAAGTAGCTTTTTTAAAGTCTCTTTGAATTTGGGCTTGATTAGAGTTAGTGTCAATTTGTGGAGTTTTTGTGTTTCTTTGAGTAAAAAGGTCTAATTGAAATCAAAATGTGAGCATGGTTGGACATGATTACCAAATCATTGAAGTTAACTAACCAGCTGTTGTCGATTATTTTCAGTTCATTCGGAGCGATGACCTCTAAAGGAAGCGGGACAATGGAGGTGGCGGCGCTCGGACGGCCTTTCAGCCTCGGGATGTTGTACGACTGCCGCAACGACTCTCTCGTCCCTGGTGAAGAAAAAACATCACCTTTTAAAAACAGACATTTTATTTTTGCCAGGAACGAAACACACAGATGAAAAGCTATAAATAAGTTATTTAAGATTGTTTGTTGATAGCATGGACTAGATTGTTGTGATGTTGGAAGAAGCAGGTTTGGACTAGCTTGTTTGTGTGAGGCTCAAGTTCAGATTCTGGTCAAAGATCACACCCAGGTTTCTTGTCTATGGTTCAACGTTGAGGGCCAGGGTGTTGATTTATGTCAGAGACAAAGTTACCAGGAACACTATGAAAGACCTCGATTTTGTATGAATTTAAATTAAGGAGGTTAAGTGACATCCATACAGTCAGTGATGGAGAGTACTAATATTACCCATCACATTTTGACAAACATTAAAGTAAATCTGTGTGTCGTCAGCGTAACAGTGGTGAGAGATAGAGTGAAACTGACTGAGCCGGTTGCCTAGAGGTAAAGCGTATAAAGAAAATGTTTTGGGGCCAAGGATTGATCCCTGTGGAACTCCGCAGAGTAAAGGGGCAGATCAGGAAATTTTTTTGGACCAATTCCAAAGGTTGCCCATATCAACTCAAACAGTTGATTGGGATCTGAGGAATGCTTGACATTAGAGTAGAGATTGTTTTCATATAAAATCAGTGTGGTGTGGGGAAACAATGGAAGGCAGCTTTTATTCCAGGAGATGAGCCAATATCTTAACAAACAAAGGAGGCCATTGACAAAAGATTTACCAAAAACATAGAGGAAGTCTGGCAACAACTTGGCACCAAATATCTTTAAATGTTCAACAGAGAATCCATCAGTGCATGAGCTAAAGGACATAATTCAGCTATGACATTTTTATATAAATAATGTCCGCTTAGGTGCCCTGTTGGATAGCCTCCAGGTCTTGTTTGATTGCAGCATGGAGATCAGCACTCTAGACGCCAGTTGTGACGTGAAGTATCCATCTTGGCTTTAACTACCTGCAGGAAAGCCTTCTCATCAGGGTTATTTTGGCCGTTGATGGATGCTGGAGAAAGTAGTGCTGTCCTTATCCTTTGTTTGAGAGCAGAGCTAGCCAAACTATACAGTGATTTTGGTTGAATACTTTTAGTTTAACATGCCATGACTATGGCATAGATATGTCTCATAATTATTTGTGTGAACAGAAAAATAATTTGTGTGTAAATATGTGATTTGTAAATGTAAAACACCACAAATGCATTTAAAAGATTTGCAAACTCACAAATAAATGTGCAAAGCAGAGATTTGAGATCCACGAGCGCATTTTTGATTGACAAATACAAAATGGATTCACAAATGCCTGATCGAAAGTTGTCAATGTTAAAGAGATATTCACAGATCTTTTTTTAATTTGTAAAAACATTTAGCGTATATGCAGATCCGTTTTACATTTGCAAATGTATTTGTGAGTTTGCAAATCTTTTAAATGCATTTGTGGTGTTTTACAAATCACATATTTACACACAAATTATTTTTCAAAAATAGACAAAATGTAAGCCCATACATGAGTCACACAATGTTCTACAATGTGTAGGCTACTGATTGCTGTTATCTGTCACTGTTACCGCTGAACTGGAAGTTATTTGACTTTTATTGTTTATAGGAATAAACTCAGGACGGCTAGACGAAGGTGCTCAGAATTCAAAAACTCAAAATGAACATCTGTTTCCTATAACTACCATAGAAATAACCCAAAATAACCCTGTATCATCGTGCCTGGCCATATCACTTTTGTTATGGTTTTGCTCAACAACTGCGGTGTCTCCACACTGTCAGGTTCCCAACAAGGACGCAGTGTAACAGTCATGAAAATAGTCAAGTACATTAAACTGATTTGTGTCTCTTTGTCTTGTAAGCAAGACAAGCTTTCTCTATTATCATTAATGTTCTCAGGAATTGCATCACTGAGCAAATCATTGTATATTTCAGTTCCTAACAACAGCAAAGCTACAATTATTGGAAAGACGATGCTTTGATTCCCCTTAAAGTTATAGTGTGTATTAACATCTAATCTGGTTCTAGCTTGATTTTGGTTCTTCTTTTGCAGGAATCACTTTGTGGGACTGTGATGACCTTAACAATCATATTAGAGAAAGACCACAGCATTATAATGATTGTGGTATAGTTGCATCTGAATCAATTGAGGACAAATCTTCAGCACTAAATGTTGAAGCATCACTGAAGGCAAGTTTCTTGGGTGGACTGGTAAAGGTTGGTGGATCAGCCAAATACCTGAACGATAGCAAGACTTCCAAAGATCATGCTAGAGTAACACTGAATTACCAAGCTACCACAAAGTTCCAAGAACTGTCCATGAATCATCTTGGGGATGTTAAGAAACATCAGTTTGTGTTTGAGAAAGGAATAGCAACACATGTAGTCACAGGTATCCTTTATGGGGCACAAGCCTTCTTTGTCTTTGACCGTGAGGTGTCTGTCAACGAGAACCATCGAGACATTCAGGGCAACTTGAAGGTGATGATCAAGAACATTAGCTCCCTTTCAATAGATGGTAAAGGCTCGCTGAAAATGGAAGACAAGGACAAAGCAAATGTTGAGAAATTCTCCTGCCGATTCTTTGGAGACTTTTTTATTCAGAAACCTCCGACATCCTTTCAGGAGGCAGTAGAGGTGTACCAAAGTCTGCCAAAGCTGCTGGGAGCCAACAGGGAAAACGCAGTACCAGTGAAGGCTGTTGCCTCTGACATGTTTAGATTCTACTGCCGCTAAACTTGTCCGTCAGATAAGTATAGGATTAGTTGAAGAATGTCAGAGTGTCCTGGAGGACTTCAGTGACCTGGAGATGAGGTTCAATGATGCACTGAGAACCCAAACTGCACAGCAGTTCCCACAGATTGGAGAAAAACTCAAAACCTTTAAACAGAAGTGCTCTCAGTTCAAACTGGAATTCCAACGAACCCTGGCAAAGAAACTTCCATCAATCCGAGGAGGAGGAGAAGAAGAAGCTGTGCTCGCAGAGGAACTGAGGAAGACATGTTCTTCTCCTTTCAACAGCAAGGACCTGAACGAGTGGATGGACTGTAAGGAGAGAGAAATCTACACCGTGATGTCTCTGACCGACATGATGACAAACACCAAGATCATCTCATCTCAAACAGACCTGGACAAAGAAAGCTTCAAAGCAGAGCAGGCTGTGTGTTTTGTCTTCACCTCGCTGGGAAGAGATGAACCGTACCTCTCAACTTTATCAAACTACCTTAAACAAACACCCAAACCAGATGATGCCCAAGATCCACACCCTCCAGATCAATGGTACAACTCAAGAGAAGAATGGGGAGCAATGCGGCATAAAGCAAAGCTCTTCAGTGATTTTGCAGAGGCCAACAAGGAGAACAAGAACATCACATTTCTGACGGTGGGTTTAACAAACGAGACACAGAAAGGTGCCAGCATCTACCTTTATACAGACGGCCTTTCTGTCAATGAGAACTTTGAGCCGCCTTCAAAGCCTGCAACAGTAACAGGAAGTGATATAAACCACAGCAGTGTGACGCTGAACATTTCTCCACCCAGATTTGGAGCAGAGGACATCACCTCCTACTCTGTTGAGTACTGTGTCAGAGGAGAGGACGGCTGGAAACAAGAGACAGCATCCAGAGCTGAAGAAGTCACAGTGAGCGGCCTGAGTCCTAACACAGAGTACAGGTTCAGATGCAGGGCAGAGACACCAGTAGGTGCCGGGCCAGCCAATGAAGTCAGTGGATCCATTCAAACCTTACCCTGCAGCCCTCCTGGAAAACTCCACGTTGAATCTACCTCAGGTGAGATATCAGTCAGCTGGGAGAAACCTGCTGAGCTCGGACAAGATGTCCACGTTTTGAGCTACATCGTGGAGTACGCCGAACCAGACCAACAGGTGAAAGAGGAAGATCTCCACTGGGAGAGGGATCCCTCCTCTGTTGCTCTCCCTGAGGTTTCTCCCATTTTTCCCTTTAAACTGTGGGTTTTCTCCGGAAGTTTTTCCTTGTACGATGTGAGGGTCTAAGGACAGAGGGTGTCGTATTGTCATACTGATATTTTGTACAAACTGTAAAGTCCACTGAGACAAATGTAACATTTGTGATATTGGGCTATATAAATAAACATTGATTGATTGATTGATATGGTGGGAGCTGAGAAGGCGATCATTTCAGGACTTCAGCCAGAGACAGAATACGCTGTCAGGGTCAGGTGTGATTGTGGTGCAGCTGGAAGAAGCAAAGAAAGCATCGCTGTTAATGTCCGCACAACAACACCTGCATATCTTAAAGAATTCCTCAAACGTAAAAGCAAAATCATCAATACTGAATCTCCCTCAGTTTACAAACTGCCTCTGACAGAAGAAGACATGGACGTTGATGGATGCCGGAGGTACAACTTTGGCAAAGACAGCATGAGGCAAAATCGTACAATAATGCTTCTCGGAGCAACTGGATCTGGAAAGTCCACTCTGATCAATGGACTCATCAACTACATCGTTGGTGTAGAGTGGAAGGACGATTTCAGATTCAAGTTAGTTAACGAGGATCAGTCGAGATCTCAAGCTGAGAGCCAGACCTCTGAAGTCACTGTGTACCAAATCAACCACCAAGAGGGCTTTAAAACCCCTTTCTCTCTGACCATTGTTGATACTCCAGGCTTTAGAGATACAAGAGGAATAAAAAGAGACGAGGAGATCAAACAACAGCTTCTTAATCTCTTCTCTGCTGAGCGTGGCATCAGTGAAATTGACGCTGTGTGTTTTGTAGTTCAGGCTTCTTTAGCTCGGCTCACACCAAGACAGGAGTATGTGTTTGATTCTGTGCTCTCAATCTTTGGCAAAGATGTGAAAGAGAACATCCAGGTTCTGGTGACATTCGCAGACGGCCAACGCCCACCAGTTCTAGAGGCGATCAAAGCTTCAGGCGTCCCATGTCCTAAAACAGAAGACGGGCTGCCAGTTCACTTCAAATTCAATAATTCTGCCTTGTTTGCACAGAACCAATCATCTGCTGCTGCTGACTCCAGTGGAGAGGAGGAAGAGGGAGGCTTTGAAAAGATGTTCTGGAAAATGGTGGCAGAAAGCATGAAGACGTTCTTTGTTGCTTTAAATAAGCTAACAACCAAAAGCTTGACATTGACAAAGGAAGTCCTCAGAGAAAGAAAGCAGCTCCAGATCTCAATGGAAAATGTGCAGAAGCAGGTTAAAGTAGGGTTAGCCAAGATTGAGGAGATAAACAAGACATCTGAACAACTTAAACTGCATGACGCAGAGTGCAGCAGAAATGCAAAATGTGAGTTTGAAGTAGTTGTCACAAGGCCTTTTAAAGTAGATATATCTGGCACTGGAACGTTCGACACCAACTGTCAGCTGTGTCATTTCACCTGTCACACAGAATGTCCATATGCCAATGATGCAGATAAAAGGAAGTGTCCTGCAATGGGACCAGATGGAAACTGTACCCAGTGTCCAGACAAATGTCATTGGAGTAAACATGTTAACCAGAAGTACAGATGGGAGTATAAGGAGGTTAAAGAAAAGCAAACCGTGCAGGACCTGAAAGAAAAGTACCTGAAGGCCTCAAAGGCTAAGGGAACTGTTCAGGAAGTGATCGCTCATATGAAGGCTGAATATCAGCGTCTTCAGGCTGAAGTGAGGGAGATCATGAAGAGGTCTGCTGAGTGTCTGAAGAGACTAGGAGAGATCGCACTGAAGCCAAATCCTCTCTCCACTCCAGAGTACATTGACCTGCTCATTGAGGGAGAGAAATCTGAGGCCAAGTTAGGCTGGAAGCAACGAGTCGAGTACCTGATGGAGGTGAGAGGACAAGCAGAGCTCATGGCTAAAGTAAGGAGAGGAGAAAACCTGCTTTAAAGTGAAGAATTTCTAACCAAGGGAGAATTAAGACCAGTGCCAACTTAGACCAAGACAAAGAGCTGAAAGCAATAGGCTCAAGCCATGATAATGACCCAGACATTTTAATGACTATAGATAACCAAGGGTTGGGACCAATAAAGGACCATGTCGTACTTTATTTGCTTACACATCGTGTTTTAACTTTATTTGTCTAAATCACCATGGTTTCAATTTTGTAAACTAACTTCTTACAGCAAAGATGTTTTATGAATGTTGATGAATCTAAAAAGTAATCCTTGAAAGAAATGCTGAATAAGAGATTGACCTGAGTTTTAGAAGCCAGAGGAACAGAAGAGTTAAGTCAGGATATTTTGTGTCTACGAACGACATGTGTGATTTTGTTGTTGATTTTTGATGCTGTGTTGTAACGCCAAAGTAATGTTGTTCAAGCCATGTCAATAAAATGGAAAGAGTTTGAAGCCTAATCTTTCCTCCAATCAGAGTCCATTGCTTGCTGAATGAGAGAAGCCTGAGGCCAGGTTGGGCTCAAAGAGTTCAGTACCTGCTAATCATGAGAGAAAAACTATGAGTCTCGACACTTGAGAGACTGAGAATTCAATATGTTTGCCACATTTTATTTGATATGTTTAAACAATTGTATTTCTGCAGAAGTTATGTGATATTTTTGTCAGGTTCACCAAACAGGAGATAACAGATGAACCATGTTTGTGGGAACACATTTTGTGCATGGACAGTTCATTGTGCAGTGTTTTTCCCCTGTTAGGATAATTTACATATTTCATGTATGCAGTTTACATTGCTCAATAAATTACATTTAGCTGACGATTTGATCAATAACGACTTACCATACAATGTTTTAAAAAGATGTGTTGCTTATTGTTTTGTATCTTCTCTTCAGGTATATATATACTTTAAATATACTTAATGTAAACAATTATACTGATGTTTACTGAATTGCATGTTATTGTCCTGTAGTAATTAGGTGAGGGATGAAGAAAGTATGAAATGATTAAAAAACTGTATTGTAGCTCCTTGACTCGTGACCAAAGACTTGAGACTTGACTTGGACTTGCAAAAAAAGACAAAGTAAAGCTCTGTTGTCCCCATATCAAAGTGGGTTCCAGAGGGGTCGGAATACAATGGATTCTATATTGTGCTTAGAATCAGACATCAGGAAAGCACAGACCAACAAGGAAGTAGTGATTGCAGTCTTCTTTCATATTGAAAAGGCTTATGACATGCTCTGGAAGGAAGGACTACTAATCAAGTTCAAATCATTGGGAATTGGTGGTAAAGCATATAATTGGGTTATGAATGTTTTACTGGACAGGAAAATACAAGTAAGAGTAGGAAAGAACTACCAGTATGGCGCATAGTCCAGAATTATTCTGCAAGATATCACTCAGACTCAACAATCATATTTACAGATGGCTCCAAAGATCCAGAGACAGGGCGTGCAGGGGCAGCAGTGTATATCCCAGTGAGTAATACACATATAAAGAAAAGGGTAACAGACCATGTGTCAGTATACACCACAGAGTTGTTGGCATTGGTACTGTCATTGAAATGGATAGAGGAGAAAGAAATACATAACAGTGTAATTGCATCTGACAGCTTTTCAGCATTATGGAGTATACGATCAGGCAGATCTTCATCTAGAATGGACATCATAAATGAAATATTTCTAATTTGATATCAAATGCAAATCAAAGGCATAGCAACTCGTTTCATCTGGGTTCCTGCTCATGTTGGTGTGGAGGGAAATGAACAGGTGGATATTCTGGCCAAACAAACACTCAGAAGTATGAACATAGACATAGAAGTTCCACTCAGCAAAGCGGAGGTTCAAACATTCATTCAGAAATATGCACAAACAACATGGCAAGATCATTGGGACCTTAGTGATACAGGAAGACATCTTTATAACATTCAAAGGTATGTGGGGGATGGAAGGAAGGTGGGGTTTAAAAGAAGGGAGGAAAATGTCATTTCTCGGATGAGAATAGGTCATACAGGTCTCAATCATACTTTAAGTATAATACAGGTCTCAATCATACATTAAGTATAATACAGGTCTCAATCATACTTTAAGTATAATTACAGTCTCAATCATACATTAAGTATAATACAGGTCTCAATCATACTTTAAGTATAATACAGGTCTCAATCATACTTTAAGTATAATACAGGTCTCAATCATACTTTAAGGTAAATAATATACAGGTCTCAATCATACTTTAAGTATAATACAGGTCTCAATCATACTTTAAGTATAATACAGGTTCTCAATCATACTTTAGGTATAATACAGGTCTCAATCATACTTTAAGTATAATACAGGTCTCAATCATACTTTAAGTATAATACAGGTCTCAATCATTACTTTAAGTATAATACAGGTCTCAATCATACTTTAAGTATAATACAGGTCTCAATCATTACATTAAGTTATACTACAGGTCTCAATCATACATTAAGTATAATACAGGTCTCAATCATACTTTAAGTATAATACAGGTCTCAATCATACATTAAGTATAATACAGGTCTCAATCATACTTTAAGTATAATACAGGTCTCAATCATACTTTAAGTATAATACAGGTCTCAATAAATCATACTTTAAGTATAATACAGGTCTCAATCATACATTAAGTATAATACAGGTCTCAATCATACTTTAAGTATAATACAGGTCTCAATAAATCATACATTAAGTATAATACAGGTCTCAATCATACATTAAGTATAATACAGGTCTCAATCATACTTTAAGTATAATACAGGTCTCAATCATACTTTAAGTATAATACAGGTCTCAATAAATCATACTTTAAGTATAATACAGGTCTCAATCATACATTAAGTATAATACAGGTCTCAATCATACTTTAAGTATAATACAGGTCTCAATCATACTTTAAGTATAATACAGGTCTCAATCATACATTAAGTATAATACAGGTCTCAATCATACATTAAGTATAATACAGGTCTCAATCATACTTTAAGTATAATACAGGTCTCAATCAACATTAAGTATAATACAGGTCTCAATCATACTTAAGTATAATACAGGTCTCAATCATACTTTAAGTATAATACAGGTCTCAATCATACATTAAGTATAATACAGGTCTCAATCATACTTTAAGTATAATAGGAAAGCATCCAACCGGAAAGTGTACACACTGCAGCCAGCCAGAAACTGTTGAGCATGTTTTACTGCTTTGCAGGAAATATAGTACTCAGAGAAATGTGCTTTTCCAGACACTGAAGAAAGCAAAATTCCATGACTTGTCGCTATCAGGGCTGTTAGGGAAAACATCAGGCAATATATATTGTGAGATTATTAAGTTTCTAAGAGAAATTGATACATTTAAAATAATCTAGAGTTTTGGTTCTTTCTTTTGTTTCTTTTGTTTCTTGTTTTCTGCATAGTCTCTTGTCCACACTCCAGTCCAGTTGGTGGCGGTAATGCACCTACAAGTTGGTTTGCCAACCGCCAACTATAACACGGCGAAGAAGAAGAAGAAGAGAAGAAAGAAGAAGAAAGAATCAAGAAGAAGAAGAAGAAACAGAAGCGAAAAAGGAAGAAGAAGGGGGAAGAAGGAAGAAGAAGGAAGAAGAAGGAGAAGGAGGAGGAGGAGGAGGAGGACACAGGACAGAAGACAGAAGAAGCGGTGATTGGAATTTAAACCTCTTATCTTTACAGTTAATCACGAATCAGAAGTTATCTATTTAACACACCAGCTGTAATCTTGGTAGAAATAATAACTTACAAAAAACTTTAAAGTGTGCGACAAAATATAGTCTCAAACTATCTTTAAATAAAGGCTAACAGCTACATGATAACAGCTACAGGCTAACAGCTACAGTCTAACAGCTACAGTCTGAAAGCTAACGGCTATCGGCTAACAGCTACAGTTGTTATTCCAGTTCGGCTCTGGGGGAGTAACAGTTGATTTGTAATGCTCAGCTGACTTTATGCTAGTTATTTATTACACCAGTTGTCTTTAAGACGGTTTGAGTTGTTGTGTTGGTGCTCTTTACCATAGATATGGTTTTAAATATATGCTAACTATTAGCATCGCCATTCACGTGACGTAGCATTTTTCCCATTGAAATGAATGGGGTTCTTCAGTTAGCAGCTAACGCTAAGCTAAGCGACGGTTTAGCTCATTAGATAAATAGATATACTTTATTTAAATAATGATTTATCTTAAAGTGGGAAACGATTGTGTCACAGCAGAAGTGTTTTCAGGCATTACACGAGTTAAACATATTTAAAAGACGCAATAAGATATAATACAAATGAAGCATTAGCAGCAGCAAGATACACACAGGACACATATCACTAGAGTATCTAAAGAATACACAATATACACAAAATACTGTATACATGGAGTACATTAAACAGTCTCACTAGCTAATGTTTGCTTTCTGTGTTAACTTAGTGATAGTTACACACGGATAGCGTTATAACAGTGGTTCAAACTACCATTAATGTCACTTTCTATGTGAATAAAGTCATTTTAATGAAATAAAAGTGAACAAACTGTGAGCTGTAAGTTAGAATGTAAGTTGCTACACAGATTATGATGAATTATATCTAAATATTTGTATTATATTAATAATGAAGCAGCTCTGTGGTCTTCATCAGGACAGCTGATGAGCAGCATGGAGGAGAAGAAAGAGACCCCTGGAGCTCAGGTCAGTGTGCACTTCATCACAATATATTCCTAATTCCAGCGTTTCTGCCAGGCGGGCGTCTTGCCTTCATTTGACGCCCTTATTCAGCTCGGAACGCCCTATACAGACATAAATAAAGCAGCGACTGTATTCTCCATGACACAGACAGTCTGTGGTTGTACTTGTTTAACTTCTGTCTAGTTTCTGAACAGATATGAGGAGCTGTGAGCTCACAACTGTTTCATCAGCATACATCACATTCTCCACACACAGAAGGCGGATCATTTATGTACATACTAAACAGGATTGGGCCCAATACAGAGCCCTGCGGTACTCCAGTTGACAAACACTAGACTTATGGTTCTCAATTTGAACACAAGGAGCTGTTTGTTGAGATGATTGATGATTTGTTTGGCAATCAATTTCTCAAATACCTTGACTACTATGGGTAAGATACTGATGGGCCTATAGTTGGATGTCATGAGAGGGTCCCCACCATAGTTATCAAGAACACAAACAGTTCTTTAGCCCCTCTGTCCTGGGGGTTGTCAACATGGATGTTAAAATCACCAACAATGACTAGACGGTCAAAGTCAAAACACACAGACAGTTCAGTAAAGTCATCAAAAGAAGCTAAGAGCACAGCTGAACTCCCGCAGCCCTGGGGGGCCCCTACATTGGTTGTGATGGCAGATGACAGGGTTTGGTCAAGTTGCTCTCTACTGGTGAGGAAAGCGGCATACCAGTAAATCAGGTATGGATTTTTCCATTT